ACCACTGGTGTTAGGATAGGTCAAGAAGAATAGGTCAGGAAGGCTCATCTGACTCCTGCCATCTGGTACTGGGGAAGCCAGAAGAGGTCAATTATGGCCCTCCGCTGCCATGTATTTGCAGTGCCATGGAATGTAAGCTCTCTCTTCTCGAGAGTGAAAAGAACAATTGACATTACCTGGTCTCCTTTGGGTCCGATCACTTTGTCACCCATGTGACCCTATTAAAAACAGACAAACAAACAAAACCCCACTACATTATCAAACATAAAAATAAAAGTTTAGACACATAAAATTGCCAATATGGTTAACCAAACCTTTATATTTTAATTTTATAAAATTAAAATTTTAGCTATTTCTTGAGTATGGTAACAAAGTCTTCCAAAGTGGGGTGGTGGGGATGGGGTGGGTTATGGATTCTGTCTCAGGGATTTACTTCCCACGGTGACGGGTGGCAGGAGATGTGAGGTGGCAAAAGATACGGAAGATCCTGCCTCAGAGGGCCTTTCTCGGGAGCAGTCAGGAGCTAGTTATGATTCGTACTGGTTATTTTCAGGTGTTAACCTGGCTAAGCTAGAACACCTGATTGTTTGGTAGAGCGTTAGATTCAAACCCACTGCCAATATCACCAATTTTTGTGTTCCCGAATCCGCAATTTTTAAGAAAAAAACTCAAAATAAGGAATCAAGAGACCGTCAACCCCACTTCTTCCATTTACTGCTTATTTCACCTCAAACTAATCACATAACATTTGAGTTACAACCATGTTACCACCGTCCCAGCTGTTGCCCGTCTTACAGGAGCTGGTGTATTTGGAAACAGTGACCCACAGGGGGGATCAGATCAGGTTTGCCCTGTAGATTGGTTAGGGTGTTCTGACTGGGATAAAACACAAACAGGAATCCACCTTAGGTCCTGGAGGTCCCATGGTTCCTGGAAAGCCCTAGAAAAGAACCACAAGTTCCATTTGCAGCAGGAAACACACCCAGCCTAAAAAGCTAAAGCTTTTTTGCTGAAAATTATTAGCTTCTGGAGGCTCTAGTAATGCTGACTTTATACTCACAAGAAAACCGGGAGGTCCTGGGGGCCCAATAGGCCCAGGGAAGCCAGGGGGGCCTGGCAAACCCTGTAAAGTAAAAGAAGAATAAGAGCAAGCTTTATTTCTCATTTCAGAGCCATGCCCATTCTTTAAGTGCTTTAAACCACTTTAACAAAACCAGAAAAGCACAACGCCACCCTTCTGAAAAGCTGCAGTTTGTCACAATATTTTCAAGAAGCATATATAGGCAGGCCCTGATTACAAATGACAGCTGTTCCTATATCTTTTTCTTAAGTCGAATTTGTATGTAAGTTGGACCAGTTAGGTACAGTTTGTATCTAATGTCAATTAGTCAAATGTTTGTCTTAGTATTATAGTATAACTTTTAAAAAAATTTAATCATCTTTTGGGGGCTCATGCAGTTCTTATCACAATCCATACCTACATCAATTGTGTAAAGCACATTTGTACATTTGTTACCATCATCATTCTCAAAACATTTGCTCTCCACTTAAGCCCCTTGCATCAGCTCCTTATTTTCCCCCTCCCTCCCTGCTCCCCTCTCCCCCATGAACCCTTGATTATTTATAAATTATTATTTTGTCATATCTTACACTGTCCGACATCTCCCTTCATCCACTTTTCTGTTGTCCATCCCGCAGGGAGGAGGTTATATGTAGATCCTTGTCATCGGTTCCCCCTTACAGTATAACTTAAAAATACTAAAGAAACACTTCCAGGTACATGAAAACATCTCTAACGTAACAATCCATCTCCCCAAACAAGCCCACCAATATCAAGTTGCTTTTGCCAGCCCCTGAATGTTCTCTAAGGGGGTGAGATGGAGATGAGTCATCGTATTCGGTGTCTTTGCTCATAAGCCAATACAAAAACCAAACCCACTACCACCAAGTCTATGTTGACCTGTAGCCACAGGTTCGAACGCTTATTTGGGGTTCTGAGACTGTAACTGTTTACAAGAGTAGAAAGCCCCGTCTTTCTCCTGAGAGTGGTGGGTGATTCCACACTGCTGACCTTGTAGATCACAGGCCAACCTGTAACCACTACATCCCCAGGGCTCCAGAAGCCAGCTCTGCTCTCAGTTTAATCACAGCTGTTGTGCGTAACTAGTTCAACTACACAGTTTATCATCACTGGGCCTGGTTTACCTTACAGAAGCTCAACAAACTCAACTTGGACTCTCATCATCTAGGCAAATATCCAATTTTGTACTCGGGAATTTCTTCTTTCCACTTCCACACATGGCATTTGTTTTGCCAACATAGCTCCTGCTGCCCTGGGCTCACCTACCCCTGCCGGGTGATTATTCTTGATACCCGCCTCTTCCACTCAAGCGATTCAAACTACCCTCTCCCCATAGTTTTGCTAATTACTCCAGCCATTGGCCAGAGGATAAAATTAATATGTGCACATCATTAATAGTTATTATGATTGCTTCCTATTAAACTGAGAACTCCTAAGAGGCATACCTGTGGTATCTTCTATTTCCGCTCTGCTTCCCCTAAGCATTTGGTAAGAAACCTTAGGTGTTTTCTCCAGTGCCTTATAAGAACTACCTGAATTAAGTTTTCATAATATTCATGAAAATTTCTAGAAAGCTTTATGCAAAAGAAAACATAGGTTATCTCATATTTCTTTCTTTATGGTCTTTGGTAATGTCTTCAAGACTGAACCACGTCTTCATGATTCAAAAAGGCAGTTATACCAATGGAAGCAAGGGCAGCATATGTGTTACATAGCAACCAAATCTTGTGGGCATATGATTTTGACGTGGATAGGAAATAGACAATGGTGCCCTGCTCAAAGATGGCAGCTTCCCGCACCACTGGGAATGTTGGCTGCCATCTTTAAGGAGGGCACTGTTTCTTGTTTCCTACTCAGGTCAAAATCAGATGCACATACTGTTCTTGTTTCCATCTACCAAGGCTGAATTGTTTCAAAGTTGTTCAAAGCCCTGGATTGAATTTACCGATTAATAAAATCCTATGTTAATGATTGTTTATATTTTGATGCATAGGAAACACAGCATTGCAAGAGAAAGCTAGAATACTATTGTGCAAGTGAATGTAAATTGAGCAACAGAAAAAAAACTCATTGTCATTCATTCAATATCACTCCTGACAATCATCTAAGACAGAATGTAAATGCCTCCTAGGGGTTTCAAGGTTGTAAACCTTTGTCCACTCTTCCTCAGAGTGGTTAGTGGGCTGGGCACTGAGACCTCTGGGTTTCATAGTCAGGGGTTAACCTCTTGTTCCACTAGGGCTCTTTTGAACAGCTCTGGGCACTCAATTTTCTCACTGTCTCTTATTGATCTAACATTTGATTATTACATCAGTTGCATTAACTAACAGCATCTAACAACAACAGCATTATATGAAATCACAGATACTCAATTATTTTTGACTTATAAAAATAGAACTTTATAGAGTAGTTCAAGCTAATAATAACGCCATTCACGATTTCAAAATGTATTTATGCTAATGCTACTCATGATGTTAATCATTGATGTTATTTCCAGGAGTTTTTCCTGAACCATAATAAACAGAACTTCCCAACGAAACCAAGTGCCATTGAGTGGGTGGCAGCTGGTGACTCTCTATAGGATTATAGGGTTCTATAACCCTAAGGTTTTATAGCCTTAGGTTATATAATAGGCTTTTAACCTTAGAAACTTCAGGTTAGGAACCTTAGCTTTCTCAGGTTATAAATATTTACTGGAGCAGATAGGCTCTTATTTTTCCTGAGGAGCAGCGGGTGAGTTCAAAAGCCACGTTAGGTTATGGTTAGTAGTCCAAGGCCTACCCAACACCAGCACTCAGATTCCATTTTATATATAGTGGAGTGACTCTAAACTCCACTGCCTTTGAGACCATTCTGACTCGCAGTGACACTGTTGGACAGTAGACCTGCCCCTGAGGTTTTCCAAGATGGTAAGTCTTCACAGGAGTAGAAAGACTCATCTTTCTCCTGAGGAGTGGCTGGTGGTTTCAAACCACTGACCTGAGGTGAGCAGCCCAACGCAAAACCAACTGGACCACCAGGGTTGCACATGCTAAAAAAGCATCTTGGCATGCAGAATTAGTGACAAATACAAGGGGGCATAAAAAAGTTGTGGGGAAATTCCATTACGCTTTCCTCTCACTTGCCTCCACAAACTTTGAGATGCCCCTTTGTATTTTTAAACCCCATGAGAAACACTATTAAGTCTTTTAAAGACATTAAAAATTGGCCATATTGAGGCGTTAAAAATACACACACATCCAGCTTGTATTTTCTTGAAAAGCTAAAATATCATCACGACTAAATTGAAGAAAAGTCAGTAATAAAATATCTTTAAAGGTAAAACCAAGCTTGTTTTATAAGTGG